TTTACCATCTCTCTGGCTAATCTAATAAAATCCTTTCAGTAGAGGGTCAGCGGCGCTTACGCCGCGTTACTTCTATTTTTATTCACTGGTTGATGATTATTCTCAGCATACTGCTCTAGTTTTACCATGTCGTTGTTTATCCTTGTTTGAATTTCATCCGTTTATTTGATATATTTCAGATAAATTGATGGTGAATATAGTATACCCAGGTCGATCAGCTTGTGTCGTACACGGCCGTTTGACCATAATTTACGGCCGTTTTGTATCGTGCCATAAACGATCGTATACGGTCGGATACGGAAATATCCGACCACATTACGGTCGTTAGTGACAGTTTACGACACAATTGATTACAGCCGCAATACGGTGCAAACCAGAACGTCAAGTTACGGCCATTTACGATGAGAAACGGCAGTATGCGTTAATGTTTACGGCCGTATACGACCGTTTCTGGTAGCCGTAATGCTCGACCTGGGATGACTTCTTGATCAATCCAAGCGTTTAAGCGTTCTTAAATTTAACAAAACTCAGCCTCAGAAAGTTCATTGCATCAAACGATGACTTTTTCTTCAATCCCAACGTTTAAACATTCGATGTTTAAAGCAAAAAACACGTTGACATTTTTTGAACGCAGTATGTTCATAAATAGCTGTGAAGCTGCCGTTTAAACGCTTCAAATTAGAAATTTAAAAATGGCATATATATTACGCGGAAAAGCGCTGACTTTACTTATGTTTGCAGCGTTAACGTGGTCACTAATGATCAATGAAAGAATGATAAGGAATATGGTATCGGGAAACGCGAGGAATTCATAGTTTCTGATGGTTCAGGCGCGTGTGGGATTTTCTGTGCGTTTACACGGTGATAAAACTGAGTTCCATTGCGTTTAAACGGCGTTAAAGATTTAATACAGATAAAGTGGGTGGCTACACGCATAATAATTGAGGATTTACGGCGTTTACGCGACCACTTTTTGCCACACGCGTTTAAACACTCAGAAAAGGCTATTTTACGGTGTTTACACGCGTGTTTCAGAAAGTTTGTCTGCTTGGGTAGTAAATATTTCCATCTAATATTGCACTTAATAAATGTTGCATATCTTTTCTCATAATTAAAAATCTTGAAGGATGCCTGTTAGATAATTTCTTTTTCTTTCCTTATCAGAAATTTCATTTAACCATTCCAATGAAATATTTTCGAATAAGTTCAACTTTTTCAATTTAGATATTTACTTTAAACAACATGATCAGTCATGTGGAGCATTTTTACCCTGAAATAAAAACTTGATCCTCATACATCAACCAATAAAACTATTCAAATTTAATTATAAGAACCAGTTTTATTGTAAAGAGAGACAATACTGATTTTTGTGTTGCTTATGAATACGAGATCTCTTTGTCTACAGACTTTATATTCGAAACTTATCAAAAGGAAAAATTGTGTTTTTTTCTTTCTAAAGGAATAATTTTCCTAGACAACTTTTTATATTCACAAAAAAAAACGAAAAGCAAAACAAAAATGATTGATTCATTATGTACAATTTGTTATATGTTTATCTACATCTCTTGTCTAATTAAATGTTTATTCATTATATTTTCAACTCCATATTGCTGCTTCTATGTTAGTATTCGCAAATGAAAAAGTATCTCCGAGCAATGAAATATTCTAGTGCAATGTATATGAAAAATGAAATGAGATAAAAAAAAACAATAGGTACGTTATAGGCCCATAATTGCAAATATCAGCCTAACTACTTGGAAAACTCAATTGTATAAAAATGCTAAAACAAAACAGAATCGATTAAGTGCTCGAAGTGATTACTATTTGAACATTATTATTCCTTTAAGATATTCTATCAATATGTCTTTATATAAATTTTGAAAAACAAAAACCATTGATTATCATGAAAATATATAACCTCTTCATCATATAGATATAGTCCTATGAGAATAAATCACGAAAATCAAGGCAGTGCTATCCACTGCAGGCTTACAATACGAAATTTCCAAAAACAACATTTTGATCTTTGCAATGACTTCTAAATCTATTGAGATTTTCTACAATGCCCTTCTGTTTTTCACAACCGATTTGAGACAATTCGAATTGCTCCCGTGAAAATCGGTTCACTTAAAATTTTCTCTCTCGCTTGTTTCTTATGAACGATTTCAAAATAAAAAATAATATCATTCGCTTTTCATCAAATTAAGAATACAATTTTAACTTGTATTTCTCAATGAAAATTTGTTTATTTGTCTTTTGTTTACTGTAATCTCACGTAAAATAATATGGAACTCAACATGATCGACTAAATACTATGCTAACTAAAGAACTGAAAGATAAAAATATATACTTTAAAGACATATTTTAAATCAGAAAAATATGGTTTGTATTAAAACTAGAGTTTTCCTAGCTGATATGAGTGTCAATGAGAACGAATGAAACAATTATTCATCCACACTCATATATACATTGAAATTATATAAACTATTGAATGAGAATAAGACGAATCATCTAACGTTTTCAGCTGATCTTTCACTATGATGTATGTAATTCGAATTTTTTTATTTATTTATAATATAAATTTAGCCAAATAACTTTCAGTGATCTTCAAAATATGATGCCTTGACAATCGAACATCAATTAGAAATTATGTCAACTGTTTTTCCTATAACAAAATTATTATTCTACTTACAGAAAATTTATTTAGCTTTACAATTTTCTTAAATTAACCCAAGGGGAAACAAACTGATTTCAATCTCTGAAACCACGTGAAATCACCTGAAATCAGAAATCACGAAGAAGTTCAATTTTTCACAGAAATTGAAGTCACCTATGTCTGATTGAAATATATATGTTGGTAGCTAAACAAATTGATATTTCTAGTCTTTGGATTAGAATTATTATTTATTTACATATTTAGATACTCACTATCAAGTAGTTTACGACTCTGACCGATACTCAGATATGTACAATGATGTCGTCTCAATCAACATGATAAACAAACTCCAAAATTATAATAGAAACAGCTGAAAAATTTATCGATATCCCAATATAAATATTTATCTTATTTAGAATGATTCATATTTCAATAACCTATATCATCTTAGTTAGAATCATTTATATCCAAGAACAAATATCATCTTAACCAGAGTTACTCATTTTCTCTATTACAAGCACACAAGAGATAGAGGATAAGAAAAAAGCAATGTTTTGACGAAAACATGATCCAGCACTAATACTTAACATATAAATATATTGATATCGTCCAAGATGGGTCAACAGTCTTTTCGAGGCACACCTATAATGCAGTCGTATGTCATCATTCAATTCTTGTTGCTCCTATTGGTGAAAGTCGAGAAATCCGATGAAATTTCGAGTCCTATCGAACCATTCACTACCTACAAAAATTCAGCTGAACTCGAAAGAAATGTTGCTGATCTTTGGTGGACAGTAGACGATGCTGAACGAGAGATCATGTTCGAATTGCATGTCAAAACTACAGGATGGATTGCTTTGGGTATCAGTCCAGGTAGAGTAGTTCGAATTGACTATAACAATTATAGTTTATCTTAGAAACGTATATATAGCTGGTGGAATGAGCGGAGCTGATATTGGTGTTGGATGGGTCGATCGGGCAGGCAAAGTTCACTTTCAAGTATGTAGTGTCTGTGTCACGAAAAGGGAATAGAGTCGATTTAGTTTATGCTGTTCAGGATCGGCATTCATTCAGTACGTCACGGCCGGTCATCGACAATACAACAACAGATTGGTTTCATCTGCAAGGTCGTGAACAAAATGGATGGACATCCATTCAATTTAAACGCTTGCTTGATACATGTGACTCGATGGATGTTCCAATCAGGGTAAGATATGATTATGTATTATAAGTCATTGAAAAAAACAAAAGTTTCTCACTCGATATAGTCTGGAACCAACGTTCTCATTTTTGCCTATGGTCTCGTCGATCCTGATATGTCTCGATCGGATGGCGACATATCATATCATGATTCTCGACGAGGTTCACGAATGATTCCACTTCGATCTTATGGAAGTCCATCTTCGGAGGAGAAGTTTGTCGGGCTTGACTCATTTGAGTTTCGGGCCAGCAATGTCAGTTTCTTCTTTGCTCGTTCTACATCGAGCATATCTAATGTAGATATATATATATTCATTTCAGTATCATGTTCCATCGGATGAATCAACCTATTATTGCAAAGTATACAAAGCGCCTAATCATTTTCAGACAAAAAGACATGCTATAGCAGTAAGTACTAAAGGCGGACAGGTCTTTCTGCAGAATGAAACAGAATTTTAGTTTCAAAAATTTTCTCAGTTTTACTTTTATGTCTTTAAAAGTTCATCGTTTATGGAGAAAAGCGGAAGGAGTGATGGTAAACATTTTATTTAAATTTCCTTTCATGTTTTCAAAATTATTGAATTCCTCTTGCATTAACGAAGACTCCATAGTAGTTTTGTGACGCCAACGAAATCTTTAGAACTTTACCATTTTGTAAAGTTCCGATTTTCAGAGATTTTACAATTTCTCAATTTTCTTCTCGATCCGAAGTAATAAAAAAAAAGAATCGAAACACTATGTTTTTCTTATTGAAAACACTACCAATGGTACCAAAATAACTATAAAACAGATTACCAGTTCTTTCATAACTCAAAAGTGATAATACATATGAAGGTGTGAATTTCAACATTCGAACGGGAAATAATGAGGCTACAAAAACATCTAAAATCTCATCGAATTTACCAATCATAGTGACATATTTCATATCACGACTTACTCTCTCGTTTTTCAAGAATCACGTACTGATCGATTCGGCTAATCGTGATCTTATTCATCATATGGTTGTTTACGAATGTGATCCAGCGGCAACATTCGATGATGCAAATCTGCCCGACGATGCTTGCGATAACGTTTATGTTCAAGTACCTTTGTGCATGTCGAACAGTGCCAGTGTATGGGCTATTGGTGGTGACTATGTAAGTGCTCATATTAAAAAGTCAAAGAAAATAATATAACACATATCATATGAGTAGATCGAGGAGTTTCCTGAAGAAGCTGGTTATCCTGTCGGCGGTAATTTTCCTGTTAAATATTACGTGCTTGAAATACATTATGATAATCCGAAACGAGCGTTAAGTACCACAGTTTGAGTCAAATAAAGACATATGATTATCGTTGTTATTTCCTTCTTAGATCGTACTGACAATTCAGGAATTCGATTTTACATGGGCAAAGAACTTCGTCAACACGATATTGGCTTTCTTTCTTTCGGCACAGGTCCAAATCCGGCATCTCTTGCCATACCACCACAAGTCAACAGATTTATTGTTGACTCCTATTGTGATCCAAAAGCTTCTCAAGTACATATCCATTGCACCGAGAATTTCATATCCTTTTTCTTTTGATAGCATTTACCTGAATCTGGTATCACCGTTTTGTCAGCCTTTCCTCATACTCATTTACAAGGCAAGCAGCTTATTTCAAGTAGAATTGAAAATCAGTTTTTACTGTTTACATGATCAGGTCAAAGTATATGGACGAAATTGATTCGCAACAATAAAGCTGTTCAATATTTGTTCAATGCTGAAGCGTACAATTTCAATTATCAATTTGACAATGTTCTAACAAAACCAATCAAACTATATCGAGTAGACAAAACCGAAATTTCTTCTTCTGTTTTTGTTTGTCTATAATTTGTGTTTTAGGGTGATGCATTTGCTACTCGATGTGTATACAATACAATGAATAAGAAAGAAATTACACTAGTAACGAATAAGACGAGCGGGAATCTATTCTATCTCACTTTACTTAAAGTAGGGTGGTCTCCGGACAAAAGATGAAATGTGTCTTCATATCTTCAGCTACTATCCTAGAATGAACAACTATTATTCATGCTTCACAAGGAATGATATGTTGGCGTGGCAAACTATACTGAACACTTCATCGTAAGTTAAATCAGATTTTGAATACAAATGTCATATTTCGAAATTGATTGTTTCAGACCAATCATTGACAACAGAGCATTGAGCCAGTTGTTACTTGATATGAAATGGACACCTGCATTAGCTGTCAAATGGCAAGAGTTCTATAATAATGCATCACGCGTTAACTACTTTGGTAGTGCGGGACATTTTGAAGAGGAATTTTTTTCCGCATTACCTAAATATGAAGATTTGAAATCTCTGGAATGCAGAAAAAAACAATAGAAGAGCGACTGTGTGGTTACCGCAATTTAACTGATCATCAAAAATCATTGACTATTCTCTGCTTAATACTGCTTACAATAAAAAAAAGTTTTCTATGAATGAAATCATAAGCTATTTCAGTTATTAAAGACACTTGTTTGAGACTTGAATACAATTCGAAGATAGAAATATCAAGTTGAAAATACAAAAAACGAAAATATTCATTGAAGCTAGTTCAAATAAGTCACGTGTATATTGCTTAGATATTTACATAGCCACGGAAAAATACTAGAAAGACTGTTCATTTATCACCTAAATTTATAGAGCTCTCCAGCAAGAAAAAAAAGTACACTGTAGAAACTGATATTTAATGTTTTTTTTTATATTGACACAACTCAGAGATCAATTGTGTAGATTTTTAGAATCATTATTTCTAGTTCAATATGCTTTTGTTTTCTTCATCATCGTTGTGTACAATAATCACAGTTAAAGAACATGTTCACTAGTTTTAATATTGCAACTACAAAATTGACCGAAAAAATATCGTAAAAATGAGTGTGCATGCATCAGTAACGATTAACAAGTACACACAACATACAATTATTTGATTTTCTAAAAAATATTTCTCGACAGTAAAAAAAAGCTTCTGGAAGTATTCTATTTTTCTTTCTCGCATGTTCTAATGCGAAAGTCTTTGTTAATTATAGGCACCAATCAATTTCGAAACAAAAGATGGCGCAGTAGATGCTCATTGAAACAGAGTAGAGTATAATAAGCTCTCCGTGAAAGATGTCGCTCTGCTGCGAACGGCATAAGAAACCGTTACTGACTGAGGTCATTGAATGATTTCTAATAGGTCAGAACAAAAAGCATATATTTGCGATGGAAGTGAACGTTTGATCGACTCATCTATTAGAATAGGAGTGATCGTTCATTTTCTACTGCCCATGAATTAACCGTCACATTATAAACTACAAATTTTGTTTTAGATATTTATATTTATGAAATGTCGACTGTCCCAATGCAAGAGAATAGTGACGACGAATTTGAAAGTGCAGACGAAGGTGAATCAATTCCTATTGTAAAGTCTGATGCACAACCGGCAACCGACCCTATTGAATTGTCTATGAATGAAAATTCAATATCCAGCCCATCTCTTCCACCAGTAACTGACGGTTGGGATGATTGGAATGTTCATGATGAACTAGCTAGTGAAAAATCAAAAAATCCAGCACATGCAATACTTTTACAACAAGACTCGGCATCATCTTTATCATCATCACCATCAAAAACTGGTGGTAGTCTATCTCGATTCGGATCCGATGAAGACGATCAAGGCGAATCATCCGATCAACAACGATTACAGAAAAAAAAATTTCGTAGAAAACAACTTGATTCAAACGTCAATAAAGATGAAAATAAAATACATACACGAAACTCTCGTCCCATTGAACGTCGTGATGAAGAATCATCGCCAACAATATTAAAAAAGCATAATGTCAAAGATGCTCATTATGTATTAGATCGACTTGCTGCTCAATCACCAACACGAACAGTGTGTTTGAATAATTCTATTCATAGTTTTCATCCATTGAATATTTTTATTTAGCCACATTGGCATAATCCATGGAGTAATCTAGGATCCTTCTTATCGACAGCAAAACAAAGTGTTTCGACATTGACAAGTACTGTCAGTATGTATCCTGATGGTTTTTGCAAGATATACAATTCATATATTTGATTCTATTTAGGTGAAGGTTTCAGTGCAGTCATTGAATCCGTTGAAGCTGGTCTTGGTGCACCTGATCCTCAACAATTAGCAGAAATGAATCGTATGGCATTCAAAATTAAAGGCGAAACGTCAGATAGTGAAGATGGTTTGTAAAAAGAAAACATTTTTTAAATTTCGATAAATTTTTGTTGAATGTTTAATTTTTAGAACCTGACGCATCAACTTCTCAAACAGAAGAAAACGATGCAATTACTAATCATGATGGTTGGCTTAATGCATTGAGTTTTGATAAACTGACAACGACTGTACGTGAATAAGAGTAAAACATAATCAATTCTTAAGTTATTTTGTATAGTGAGATTAAATTCAGTTCCGGCATAGATTTTACAACGATAATCATATGTAGAGAATGTGATACGAGAGATTTTCGATAATTTTTATTGCTGTCAACTTGAAAATTGCTTTTTTTCTTTATTTATCTTTCTCTAATCATGTGTATCATGACTTGGGGGAAGCAACGTGATCAGGGTATCGAATCGATCATACTTTATCTCTCTATAACGAATCAGAGTTTGAAAGAATGTCATTGCCGTACAATATATTCGTATCTCATGCGTTATTGTATAGTCTGTCTATTGCAATCACTACATATTCCTAGCATTAGAGTCAATAGGAATGAAGTACATTGAAGATAGATGTTTTTCTAAGAATGGAAAACCGACTTACAGTAATACAGATTGAATATTCAATTAAATCAATCGTCTTCACCGAATGTTGTTTTGCGTTTGGGTCCGACGAGTAGGACATTTTTAGATGTATATGTAATCAGTTCTGATATAATCTAATATCGTATAATTCAATAATAATAGCGCTGAACTCGTTTTATTTTGCCTATCTAAAAGTAACATTTCCAGAAGATATTAATTTTTTGTTTTTCTTCATAGGGTATGAAAGTTGTCTCAGGTAGTCTTGATGTTCTTGAAACAGTTGGTAGAAAAACATACGATGTAAGTATGAAGAATCTTTTTTTTTCTTATTTTCTTATTCTACAAATATGAATGATGTGTTGGAAGGTTATTAATGAAGCTGATCCAGATTTCAAAGGAACACGACGTTTATTAGGAAAACAAAATCATCCAACATTATCTGAGGTTTGTTTTCTTGACGTATTTGTTTTCGAAATTTGTCTCTGCTTTCTTATGTATTAGATAATTCGTGAAGCTCAATATGAAAAAGAATTAATGTCAACATCAAACCAAAATGAGCCTGCATCTTTTTTTCATTTATTGGAAAAAAATCATGGTGAGATAAATAAAAACACGAGTTAATCATTGTTTTCTGTATTTTTTCATTTTAGGTCTTGCTCATTTTGAAGCGCTTGAGTTATTATCAATTCAATCGGCAACTATCCTTCAAAGTATGATTCATGGAAATAAAAAATTACTTGATGATATTGCAATTTATTTTCAAATCAATGACGATGATGATGATGATGAATTAACAATAAATGATAATAATGAGCATGACATACCGACTTTAGAAGTTCTATCACAGAAATTTACTGCATACCAAACACAATTACGTTCGACAGTATCAGTTGATAGATTACTTGAAGTTTACGAATCAGCAAATCAATTCATCAAGGAATGGGAATGGATGGACACAGAACTTGACCAAAAAGTAAATATAGATATTTTCATATGCACTGCAGAATATATTTATTTGCTATTTTTTTCCGCCAGCCCTCGAGAAATTCAGTAAGGAATTAGATCATATACTTCTATAAACAAATGTTATCGATATATGATCGTATATCAACACGGTTGTATCCTTGAGTGTAGTCGAGATTCATCAGATAGATCAACCTTTCTAATCTTCACAGCTCAATATTCCTCTCAGATTATGTTTCTTTTAAAAATAGAAATTTATTACTTATTTAGACGTTATTTGATGAAGCTATTAATTCATTAGCAATTCTATGTGCATCTATAATTGAATATTATCATAAAACAGCTCAGCTGTTTTTTATGGGTTGTAAAAGTTTAACATCATTCTCAATTGATATTGAACTATTAGCTATTTATCAAAAACAACAAAAAGATTTTGCAAATATGCTTGCTGGTATAACAAATTTATTTGTGAAGCATATGAAACAAATATCAAATTTACCATCAACAACAAATAATCATACTAATGGTAATGATCGGTGTGATATAAAATTGAAACAAAAGCTTTTGAATCAAATGTTCATTCAATCGTCAAGTTCAGAAACTTATGCATCCGATGCTTATGTGTTACTGAAACCTATTGTTAGTCAATCGATTTTATATCATACATCAACAACAAGATAGATAAATAAATGTTTCTTTTCTTTTTATTGTATTTAAATTTAAGTATAACTATCAAAGCATATTTTTTTTATCGATTTTTGTGTCAAAATGAAGAAATCGATTTCCTTATGATTGTACAGGAGAATTAAATAATACCTAGAGATAATATTGACAATAAATAATAGAAATAATCAAAGGAGGACAATAAACTACGATAAATTTGGCATACAGAAATATATACTATGAAATTAATTATCGAACATAGTTTTAGAAAGAATATTAGTTGAATAAGACCTTCAGTTAATTTTGTAAAAGTGACTTTCCCTAAATATGATCTCTAAAAACGATGAATTAAATAATTTAAAATCATATGCGATTATTTGCTGCAGCAATACTGATCAAATGCACTGATTTCTGTTGTTTTTTTGAGTATCGTTTATATGAAATTCTTTTTAACTGCAGGAATTTTTTCAATCAATTATTTATAAAAATCACAACAATCAGACATTTTCATTTTGATAATTTCAATTTTCAATAACTGCAAGAAAAACCATAATCAAATTCTTCATTCAAAAGAATTCACATGTTTAAATCAACATGATGAAATTGTTTTTTCTCCTTTATGATGTTTGTTTAAGTACGTATCAAAAATTTCATATGACTAATTTGTCACTGTTTTGGATAAAAGTTCAATATGTTATCAAATGTTTCATTCTCACTATAAGATTGGCAGTAGTTCCACTGTTGAAACACTTTCCATTTCTTAAGGAAAATTTATACTCAATTGGAATCGTTTATCTTCTCTTTTCTAATTAGTTTAAATAAAAACAAGTAAATATTTTCATGCTTATATTTATTTATTGCAATAAGAAAAACATACTCTTTAATTAGAAGTATATTTTCTCGTATCATACAACTCTAATTGCTTGTTATGTACATTCGATGACTCAATATCGTTAACTTCACACCAGGAAAATATTAGAAGTGCTCGAATGACATCATCATAGAATTATTTACGAACAAAATAATGCTCTCAATATGGAAGAAATAGAAGAAAACAATCATTTTGATTTATTAAATCATTATCTATACGATTGTAACATGTATCGAAATTGATGCTAACTTTGACTACGCTTCGGGCAATACACACGCCACTATACTTATGTTGTGGCCATTTAAAAAGAAAACAATGTTTTTGGAATAATTTGTTTTTTTCCCTTCAAATTCTTTCGAAGAGATTATTTCTTCTTCATCTTACAGGTGTTCCATCCTCGTTGTATACAGAAAAATAAATAAATAAATATTCTGAATTTATATATTTTTAATGAAATTTAATGATAACTTATGCATCCGTATATTTAAAGAATACTGTTTATAATAAATTATTCACATTTGTTACTGATTGTTTTGACGTTCTTATTTTCATTTTATGTCTTTACAAGATTTTTTTCATATCGAAAGAAAAATGAAGAAAGAAAAACACTTTTTCTTCTCAAGTGTATGTCTATCGATTGCATTTTAATCTTTGACAAGACGCAAGGTAGTAGAGCGTTGATTTTTCTTTTTTTATATATGATAAATTCCATTCATCTGTCGTACGCTTCATTTTGGTCGGGAAAAAAATACGAACGAAGATGTTGTCAATCGATTTAAAACAGAAATAATCGAGAATGTAGTTGTCTCTACGCCCACATCAATTGCTTTAAATATCAAATTTAAGCATTTGTTTGAATCATCTCAACTTCAACAAAAATTTGAGTAATATGAAACTTAAATGGTCGTTTTTTCTCATTCTTATCAGATGACTTTTTTCTTACTTTTTCTCTCTCAGATTTAATGTCCTTTTTATTTTTTATTTCGCTATTTTTTTTTCTTACTCACGTCATCATTTTTATGAAGTGATGAATGGAAAACAGATAAAGCGACATCCGGCATTATAAGACGATGCATTTGTCATTGTCAGCTTTGACAGAGTCGTGAATTTTCTGTAGTTATTTCTTATAACAAAAAATTAACACCTACACTAAAAGCAATTTCAGATATGAATACACCTGAAGAACCAACTATGAATAGTGATATTAATGTAAATAAACAGCAACCTATCGATAAATTACAAGCAAAACTAGTTCAAGATCAATTGCAACGAAGGCAAGGCAAAGATTATGGACGAATTTTACGTGAATGTAATAAACCACCTCAATGGTATCAACCATCTCCAACGACGCGTTCAATTTACTACTATGCGCCACATTATCAAAAATTTCTTCAACAACACTCTGCTTTTTCGGTGAATACTCCTGTAAGTGTAAAAAAGGAATCGCTTTAAATTTTGAAATATAATAATCATCTCATATTCTATAGCGTATCACTCCACGAACTCGAACAAGCAGTCGATCACCAGCACGTTCAACAAAATATGATTTAAACTTACATAATCCTTCTAATAGTCATCGACAAAAACCCTTAGCTTCATCTCGATTACAACCTGTGATAACATTACCGTCCATAACTACATACAGAAAAAAACAAATAATTTCATAGCCAAGCTCAGACTGTTAAAAGGTGCAATAACAATCTTGCTACTGTGTCTTTTTTTTTTGTATAAATATAATAAAAAAAAACAACAAACAAATGAAATCATCATCTACCTGTCTTTGATAATACATCAAGTCGATGATATAAAAATTCAAATTTATACATGTCTGTATCGTTGCTTGAACGAAACGCAACAGTATTTGGACTGAAACGAATGCCCTATCATAAACGAAACGAAAATTTGATTGAATACAACTCGAAAATAATAATAAAGAAAAAGAAACAAAAAGCTTACGACACTCGGTATTCCCAGGCGGTCACCCATCCAAGTACTAACCGAGCCCGACGTTGCTTAACTTCAGTGATCGGACGAGAACTGGTGTATTCAACGTGGTATGGCCGTAAGCAGATGTAGCAGGATTACTTCAACTATTTCTACTTTACCTGAAATCGTTTATCCATTTTGTAAAATGATAGATTTTGTGAAAGTATTAAATTATCATACATTGGATTGATTTTGATTCGACTTATTTCCATACATCTGACAAATTCATGATCATAAATCATATTTTTAAAACATTGTTCTCTTTCAAATTCTAACTCCTGTTCATCATCGCTTAAATCATCTGAATAAGTTAAACGATACAATGCCCGCCGATTAAATAACATCACCGATCCTGTTGTTGCAATTTGATATTTATCAAACATTTGTTCAACATCACCAACATAAGCTAATGGATAATTGTGGTGTTTATCATTCAATTGTCTAACAAGTTGTCGAAGATTTGGTATAATCACAAATGAATCGTCACTTGCACGTAAAAACCAGTTATAAGATTTAAATGAGTTTGTAGTTTCAAGATACGCAAGCACATCGAATGTTTGTTGAGTTATTGTAGTGACTGTTATGTCTGTTATATTTTCAAAATATTCTAATATCATTAAATTGATACTCGTATTTTGTAGACGTGCAATAAAATAAAATCGATCACATCGCTTACCCCAACTATAGGCAATAGCTCGTGCTGATGTTAAATGACGATCATTTGCACTAGTTACAAAACAGAATATCAGTGGTGATTTTGTTTCTTCAAAATTATTGCCGTAAACATTTTCATAATTATCAGGTTGAGAAGAAAAAAGTGCATTGAGTAAACACCAACTAAGTCCGGCCAGACATACAACAATAATAATCGGAAAATATCGACTTAAAGGTCTTGAAAACCGACGACACGATCGATAACTGTGTAGCATTTATATGATAAAACACTTCGACCGACTCATTTAATGTTTATGCGCATGACTGCTTTTCTTTTCTCTTTTTCTTTTCTTGTTCTTTTTTTTTTATAAATGTTTTGAATAATATATAAATATCTTCAACAATATTGTATCACATTATATCTGTTCTGAACATGAGACAGACTTAATCCAATTTCTATACAGTTCGTATTCGATTAATTTGATGAATATCACGTTTATGCCTATCACTATTAATTGTACACGATATAAAATTATTAAAAAGTCAGATTCGTCGTATTCGTGAGAAAAGTGAACATACTGTCAATTACATAATTTATATATTTGTCCCATCGCATAATTATTTTTCGTATGTATATATATGTGAACTTCAATAATAAACAAAATGCTATGTCCTATGATGATGTAAAGTGAACTACAGTATTATTTTATATATAGGCCTACAAATATGGTTATTGTCCGATCATAATACTTGTTCGATGTTCGACTTTCGTGTGAACAAATAGCACTTCTATCAACAAATATTTATCACCTTTACATCGATATTTATGTTGGATTTATATAAAGGGCGAGAATTATTGAATTTATATAAATAATATTTGAAATCAATTCATTGCTGTTCAAACTATCTTTTTTATTACACCAAACATTTCAAATCGGTATGCAATGTCAGTCCGCCATCACTTTATTTACTCATATGTTCTCTAATTATAGACATGTGGGACATAATAAATCTATTCATGCTACGGATATTTAAAAAGTAATAAACCTAAGATAAATCAATCATATGAATTGCGTAAAGTCGCAAATTGGCAAATGATTCCTTTTATTTCTTGTTCTTTTGACTTATTTTCGTTTTTTTTTTTGAACAGACTCAACAGTTTTATATTAAACAACGCAACAGTAAGGGTTACGAACGCGCGTGAGCGTTATCACATGAGTAGGGTCGTAGCAGCAGTAGTAGAAGATGCGAAGCACAAGAGAAAGAAAAAACGAGACGAGAGAAAAAAAGACAGGAGGAAAAGACGATAGAGAAAAGCAGCAGCAGCAGCAGTAGCAGCAGCTGATCGGGGTGCGTGCGTAAGACGTAGTTTTTTTTCACTACGTGAGTGGCGCAGTTTTTTGCGAGACGAATCGTCAGGCGGAGAATGTTGTTTTTTGCGTTTCAGATGCTCAAGCAACCCCTTTCTATTCTCAACAACAGAAACAGAAACACAACAACTAGACAAGATTTGGCCATCATCAGAAATAACAACAAGAAATTTGACGAAAACAACGATATTGACGACAAACAAGAAAACTGAAAAAATATCAAGCCAGAGAACGATAACACCACAATCCTAATTATTCCTGCCTTTTCAATCAATTTATCAATTTTACATATTACAAGTACAATTTTGTACAAAAGGTAATCGAATTTGACACATGTTCATAGACGAATTTTTTTTACAAAATCAATTTTTTTGCGTTTTGCTTCGTATAAAAAAGATTAATTTGTTTCATTGTCAATTCAACATATACTGAGTACTCAAAAAAAAAAAAAGAAAACGTTGGAAGAGTAGGCAACAGAAGACACATTAGTTGGAATGCTGAATTTATTATTAGTTTTGAGCAGCTGCATTCAACAAATAAAAACAAAACGTTTCGCTTTATCCTTGATTTACTGAAATTATCTGCAAGTAACAGGACTTTCGCATGCTTCTAATATATAGCTGTGCTATTAAATGAGAACAGAAACTGAAGCATCTACTTATTATGGTAGTAATACTTATAATAAAAGATAGTAGTTGTTGTCAGTTTCTTTATTGACTCCTATCCCATCTTGTGGTATACATATACAAAAAAAAGAAGAAAAAGTTGTTGGAAGAAGTAAAAAAAAGAGACAAGAGAAAGGAAAGAACTAGAATGAGAGAAGAGAAATAGACCCGTGTAAATATATGCATACGGTACGAACTACAGTGTCAATCTCATTCTATAGTTTACTTGTTTGTGCGTTTCTACTCCCACTAGATGACGGACGTCTTCATATTTTCGTTAATCATAATTCATAGCATCTGTCTTAACATATTTATCGGAATTACTTACAATCTTTACTTTGTAGAAATGGAAAGAAAACAAAAACATCCTCAGAAACACACAATCCATCAGAATCTTTTCGCCCTTCGGAAATCCTACTATTTTAAATTCATTATAAATCACCATTTGCCTATATGCACATTACATGACTCGTTGACAATAACTAGCTGTAGAGAAGAACATAATGTAAGCCATCGTTGGAAATATTCCGTGACAAAAAGCGGAAATAAAAAGATAAAACATATTCTATTATTGTACAAAAGGGAAACATTAGTTCGTTATTAATATATCATTTATATAAAGAAAAAAAAATCTAGACGAAACTAGAGAGAAATAGAAAAGAATTAGTCTTATATTCCAATAGCATCAAGCTTAGTAATCTTCATCGTCGTCTTATATTCATTAGTTTAGTTGTATATCGATTCGGGTCACTTTGTCCCTTGAGGAGATATGAAAAGAATATAGTACTATTGACATCATCAAACATATATCATGCCAACTATCTTTTGATTTATGATATAACCTATACGTATATGTGTAGAGTAGTTTTATAGAAAAGATTTCATACAAATATTTTATTTTTTTCTTATTATAGGATTTTGTTCGTTATTACAAAGGAATTTCTTTTCGTAAAATAAAAGTTTTCATTAAACTATTGCAGTGGCAAGCTGTTGGACGTTCCTATCTATTGTAAGTTATTTCACACATTTGTCTTTAATTATATACATTCATTTGTTCATTCTTCGACATCAGTATTGATGATGTTTTGTTGAGAAGAATGAGAGATAAATATCTCTGTCGCGTCACTGATACGTTTGTGTATTTAGCCCCCTGCTTGAATAGTTGTTGATCGAGTTATTCTTCTTTAGTTTTGTTTTATTGTCTTATCAAAATGTTGAGTAAATGTCGTGCATATATAAATTATTGCTAGACGGCATTGTCCTTCAATATACTACACTATTGATGAACGAGTGATTGACAAACATGGATATTTGACCTTCATTAAATTTTTCTTTTTTAATTATATTATCAAATTTACTAGTATGATTATGCAAGTTGCTCATCATTATTGGATTAGAGAGAAAGGCAATAAGACACAACAAATATATATATATATATATATAATATATTTTTAATAACTTCTACATGCGTCATACTGATGAGCATACATCTGTATTTGTCCGATTGCGCAAGAAGTATACAAATCTAGATCAAGAATAGTGGTTAATAGGAAAAGAGAAAGACTAAATTGGATACGCTCAATCAAGTTTTATTACAAGCTATTTTCTTTTTCTCATATGAGAGTTCAATGATCGATTAGATTGTTGCAGTTGTGACATATGTGTAATGGGTGATTAAATTCGAACTGCTTATTATATTGGCTCAGAGAGGGAGGAGAGAATGAGTAGACAGATAGATAAGTGGATGTCTCTTGTCTTCAACTATTTATTGATGATACATATCACAAGTGAACATAAATATGCGCGAAAAAAGAGAAAGTCAAAAAAATAATCGGTAAGATTTGTAATATGTACATGATGATGTTGAGGTATTAGTAAAAAAAACAGAAAGGCGACTAATTCAGTAAGACAGGGATATAGAATAGCCTTGTATGATTATATATTTATTTTTCATGGTTGTCTATTCTTCTAATAAATCACAATCTATTCATAGTCCCATATAGTATTCGTCTTCCTTTCTCGATAGACTTTTGTCATTGCTCTATAAAGCAGAATGAAGAAGATGCACGTCAAAACGAACACATCATGTAATTTTTTGCAGACAAATCAATAAAGAAAGAAAAACTACACGTGGTTGTGCTTTTCATCATCCTCTTCTTCTACTTTTCTTTGTCTTTAACGATCATGTTCACAGCATTGAGATGTTATTTTTTTCTAATATTATATTTTCTGTGAATTTTTGACTAGATATAGACGATTTAAAATTTTTATTCTTATCTAATTACTTTTCTAATTATTCAATATAGGTACGCCGAAGAATGGTGAAAAAAAGTCATCACGGCAATTCCAGAACTCTGGGTAAATTATTCCAATTTTACTTACCAACTAAAACTCATCGGATTTATTCATGCCTTCATTGTCGAGCTCAATTGGCTAGTCACGATGAACTTATTTCTAAAGTATGAAACCAACAAGAAAGAAAAACAGTGCTTAAAATCTCTTTTTGTTTCAGTCATTTCAAGGTAGTCAAGGACGAGCTTATCTATTTAATTCGGTGTATGTATATTTTACTTTAAATATTCGAGATTTATTTTTCTATTTTCGTCTTCTTCTTTCAAGTGTTAATGTAAATACAAGTGCTGCTGAAGAACGAGTTTTGCTGACGGGTCTTCATGAAGTAGCTGACATATATTGTGATTGTTGCAAAACATTACTTGGATGGAAATATGTAAATAGTTTTATTTTCTTCCTTGAAGTTAAAAATTACTATTATTGTCGTTTTTTTTTTCGAAGGAACATGCTTTTGAAACAAGCCAAAAATATAAAGAAGGAAAATTTATAATTGAACTTGTACACATGATTAAAGATAATGGTTGGGATGATGAAAATATTGATCAGTCAAACTATTTAAAAAAATGAATTAATCACGAATAAATATGTCATAGACCCGCGTGCAACAAACAGTGATGTTAACAGTTTTTGAAAAAACCATAAGCCAGCTACATGCACCATTTTGTTTCCTACTATTTGTCTAGTCATCGTTCCATATAACAACCGTCGATTTGTTTTTAAATAAGTATTATTTATGGGACAATTAGAGGAAAAACTTCAATTCATGTCTTGTTCTTTATTTTTTTTCATTTTTGAACATTTGTACATAACTTAAACATAATTGTTACTTTCATGTGAATAGATTATGCTTGTATGTATCAGATTTTTCATGTTATAGAATTGAACTTTTTCTTTTATATTATTTTTTTTGATCGGTGTCTTAATCTCCGAGGGAAATTGTTTTTTTTTCTTCTTTTTTTTTGACAAACGAAATACAGATTGACCATGGTGACCGTGTGAAAAGAAAAAAAAAGACTTCTTCAATGCATAGGCATAAAGATTGAATAATCAATGATAAGGAGATATATACGTGTAAAAAAAAGAAAGAATTCTATAGGTCACATACGATCAGATGCAAATAACACTTGACGTGACTGTTCGTCTGAGAAATAGATGGTAAATATGTGCGAAGGACGAATATTGCCTTGTCAAAGTGATAACGGTTGTTTCAAGCTATAATGAATGATAGTTTATCTATTGTTACATTAAATAGAATATGACACTTTAGTTAGCTAGATGCTTTAAGAGTATGACGGCTGTTGACTTTATATTCTTATTCAAGATTAAATGAGGAAAAAAGATAGGAATATGATCGGAACATACTAATTTTCGCTTCACTCAAAAAACACTTTTTATCTATTGGACTAATGCTGCTTTGCATAGTATAATTCTAACGAAAGATTATAAATATTAAGTTATTTTTTGACTCAGGACTGTGTACCATCATACACGTTCTAATGAAGTATTTATGGTATGAGAAAAAAAGTTCTGGCTATTCGTTTATCTCTAGTGATGTATTACATTGTTTAATAAATTGGTATGGGTCCCTTGAAAATACTAAGAAAACTGGATTTCAAATTTCAGCTTAAAATTTTTCATAAGAGTAAATCTACATGAAAATAGCTGATCGTTAAAGTTTCAAATCGTAATTCGAAACTTAGTTTTCTACATACTTCTTAGGTAGTCACGGCATTGTACTAAAAATATACTAGATCTTCGGAACAGTAAATAAATCACTCGACGTTTTTTCCATGATATTCAGAAATCATCAAGATGCACTCAATACTGTGCATAGACCTGTTGACTAGTTTTTAATATGATATAGTATTGTTTACGATTAAAGAAAGATTTTAATATATTGGTGCGAAATTTGAATGTATTATTTAAATTTTAGTTTTTCTTTATATAACTACTTTGAAAGCACCACTAGAAAATATATCAGATTTTATGTTATATAGGGCCTGCAAAAAGTCAGCTTGTCCGCTAACTATATAACCGTTCTAAATATCGAATTTATTTAGATTGTGATCACAATAATTTAAAGTTCTGAATAATTAAATTATATTGAAGTAAATTAAATAGAAAACTTTATTTTATTGTTGAAATGCCGAAGACTCGAAAAATTAAAGAAAATTTATTATTGCCGATATATTAGTTTGCTTCATTGTACGATGTAAAAAAACATTACTGTTTTATTTTATTTTTAGAGATTAAATATCAGTATAGTCACCTATCATGTAAATAATACATCATTTATAGATAATTTCTCATTTGTATTGACATTCAAATTCTTTATAACTAGATAGATATAAAAATCAAATTTAGTTATATTAATCAGAAAGAAAGAGAAAAAAAATTTCTTCACGGCTCACCAGTTTGTAAACACACGATAAGCAAAATAGGCAGAACGGTTCGAGTATTTCAATAGAAAAAAAAAAACGTGCTTACGGTTGGTTGCCATCATTTACAGTCAAATGTTAGCTCCTCTTGTTTGGTGTTCAGTAGCTTTTTTAATTTATGTTCTTTTATACGATTATTATCGACGTCGTATTCTAAAACAAAGAGCTACATCAGATTTACTTGAAACTCTTGAAAATACACAATTTAATTCCATACCAACATCAAAAAGAAAGTATGATAAAATAAAAGTCTATGAAAAAAATGTCGTTTTATCTCATTAGATTGTTGGTTGACATAAAACAAGAAATTCATCGATATTTCGATTTCAATTCTATTCGTGTTATATTTGCTATTGATTTTTCTGCAAGTAATGAATGGCAAGGTCGAAAAACATTTAATGGACAATTTTTACATAAAACCAATGCTAATAAAATTTACAATCCATATCAAAAAGTAGACTGAAAAAGTTCCTTTGTATTTTGATTTCGAACAAGTATCCTCTTTTGTTTTAATTAAGGCTATCACTCAATTAGGTGATATATTTCAAGATGTATTTCCGAAGCCCATTGGATATTCTTGTTTCGGATTTGGTGATCAACAGACAAAAGATTTTTCTTTTTTTCCAATTGTTGGTAGTGGCGAAGCATATAACAATTATCAACTTGTTCTTGAAGCGTAAAATTTTAGCAATAGTTCTTGCATATTTTATTCAGCAGTTTTATTTCTAGCTATTTAGAACAAACGAAAGATATTACCTTCAGTGGTCCTACTAATTATATACCAATAATACAAATGTTAATATCACATGGTATACGCTGTGAAAGAGATTTTACTATGTTAGTTATATTAACGGATGAATTAAAAATGTCGCATGAAGATAATTCATCAGTGGAAGCTATTTATACATTATCTAATTTGCCAAATACATGTTTACTTGTTGTTGGCGTTGGTGATGGACCTTGGCAAAAATTATCCTACGAAGAGCATTGTCTTCGTGAATTAGTATTTAAAAAAAAACATCAAAACAAGAAAAACTTTGCTCAAAAGGGAATAGTTCAATCCTACATTTTATTTGATAATTTTCATTTCGTAGATTTCAATACTCTTGCTTTAAAATCAGATAAGATTGCAAATGAAAATTATTTAGCACGAGCTGTTTTAGCAAAATTACCAACGCAATTCAAACAAGCTTGTCGTACTGAGGAAGACGAATATTCTTAGAAAACAACACAAAATTATGTTTTGATTTTTTCTTCTCATATGTAGATGACAGTCTTCACAAGATTGATTTAGATATTAATCATTATCCGGATCTAATAAAATAAATTTCATAAAAAATACAAGTTTCTCTGTTTCTGACAATTCTATACAGAATGTGTGTAGTAGGAAAATATATTTTGCTTTGACTAATGAAGTTTGCATCCTCATGCATACATCTTTTTCATGTTAGCATTGATATTCAATGACTTGGAGACCTCCTCCAAATTATATTTTATGTATTGAAACAAAAACAAGCATCTCTAGTTCAATAGGTTTAAATATGTTTTATAGATTTGTGTTGACATTTTAGAATAATATGATGTGGTATAACTCGTGTCTTTTATCGTAATAGTTATCTTAGAGGTGTAAGATTTTCCCAAAATAGTCAATATGAATTTTCATATTTTCAAAGTTAAAAGTTCTAACGGATCATATTATGCAACTTGAAATGTTGCTTTCTATTTCCTTCAGTGATCAATCTTCTGTATGAGTAGGGTGGGCGACGTCCACCCAAAATTGTGATTCACCCACCCGAAAAATGAAACCTACATATAACACTGATTTCGTTTGTTACTTATCGATTATTTCCAATAGTTTATGTAATTCTCATTAATCAATAACCTTGTTGTGAGCTAGAAATATTGAACTATCAAGCAAATTCGTAACAGTTTAATATTTTCTTCATCGGTTCAGCAATATAGAAAAAGATCAAAGCCAAAGAAAAAGTTGATACAAGAAAAACGTTTTAAAAATGGTATAGATAAAATTTCTAATAGCAGATATATCGAGAGACTTAAAGAAAAATCTTGCTTACAGTTTCCACGAGTAGCGCTAAGACAAAATATGTCAATGAAAATTGAGCATTTCTAATCCAACAGTAAAATAATGAGTTCTGCGAAGTGAAGCAAGCATGCATGCAACGTCTAGTGTCACATCGATAGATTGACGATATTGAACTTTAATGATATTTCAACATTATTCAACTCACACCATAATAAGTGACTTACCACTGATGATTCCTAAACTACCAACAATTTGAATTGCTAATGAGATGAGGGAACGTTTCGTCGTAAGTGGTGGAAAATACTCGGCGGAGGTAACTCATCCTATAGAGGTCATGCCAGATTTCGTTCCGATTATGATTGGTGAATAATTTTCAATTTTCGGATTGGTTTATTGGACATAAAACAATATTGATAACCAATAGAAAAAAAACTAAAAAAATTAATTTCGCCATTCGACGTGATGTAAAAACATGTTGATCATCATGATTTCTATGTTTTTTTTACATAAATGCGCTTATTCGTTCATTTTTCCTTAAATGAGTGAAATGGAAAAAAACCCAGCTTGACTACAATGTTAAAGAACTGTATTTTATTTTTCATAGTTTTCGTTTTAATAGAATGCAGCAGGTCGCAGAAGTACCTGTGCCGTTATCAGGAAGTTCAAATGAAAAAACATTCAAATCTGAATTCGATTGTGAACAGGCAGCACCCATAGCCATCCCTGTTTCATCAACACAATCTGCAGTAGCGCCACCACCAACTATCCAAACACAATTAATTACTGTGCCAATAGCATCGACTCAATCGTTTTTAACAAGTACTCCAATAGCGACCATAAAACGATCGAAACGAGTATGTTTTTGTTTTCATTACTCGTTTAAAATCTATTATCATAAAAATTTTAGGGCCTACGCTCTTATCTCAACAGTAAAAAAATAAATCGATCATCTCTTAAGCCAGCGACAGTACTTGCTCGGCCAGCGACTTTCAATACATCAACAATATTTCCATTGTCTCAAAAACCAGTTTTATTTGGCAATTCAATAAGTAAATAGAGTACTACTAAACGTTTTCTTTCACGTTACGTTCATTTTTATTTAGCACCAATCGTTCCCAAAGCAGTGACATCGAGTAAGTCATTTATTTTAAATCTTTAAAAGATTCTACTTTACATATTTGAATAGTTCAACCGAATCCGCCTGCAGGATTGACTACATATCTAGTTGTCGATGGTAACCAAGGACAAGTAAGCTGTGAAATTATCGATTCTTCTTGTTTTATGATATAATCGTTCTTTATTCGATAGCTTGTTCAAGTTTCTAATGATGGTCAAACACCAGTTACATTTCGAAATCAAGTTGGTCAAGTTCTTCAAGCAACACCTATTACAGTTGTTTCGCCAGCTAATCAACCTACTATTTCTTCTTTTACTACCAATGGAGATTGTTCATTACGTATGTTTAAAAAAAAAACAACGAATATCTTTTGAATACTCCATATTAATTTGTTTCATCAGTATCAAATACATCACAAACAATCACTACTGTTCGCACAAGTTCATCCATTGATTTACAACGACAAAGTGAATATTATTAAAACATTGAATTAAAATTAAAATTTCTTGTTTTTTTAGCAACTTTAACAAGTGGTACAACAACAATGACAACACAACAATTAACAGGTATCAACCATCAACCGACAACACACATCAATGGAAATAGTTTGCAATCATATGCTAATAATTCATCATTGGGTGAATCAAAACCATCAAATAGTCATCTTTCACTATCATTAACGCAATTAGCAGAGAAAGCTAATCATCGTCATCGTCGATCAAGCAGGTAAAATAAACAACTTTGCCGTTAGGTGTTTGCATCTGCTATTATTCTTATTTCTATTAGTTCAAGTGTATCGAAAAAGAAGCGTGGAAGACCAAGGTTAATTCAACTTAAAATTGATGTCCTTCAGGTAGATAAAATACATTTTGTTTTAGATTGTATGAACGTGATCCATTTACAAATAAACCAATAAAAGCCGATATAACACCAACAACCACGGAATTAGTCAAACCAAATTTTACAAATACAACATTATTGATACCTGGACAAGCTACATCGTTCAATACATTATCTAATCATCAAAATAATTGTGGTTCATTTATTTTTCCAAGTCAAACAGTAAGTTTAAAATATGAATAAAACATGGAAAATTTCTAGCGTTTTGCTAATATTATTCCTTAACATTCGAACTTTTGGTGACCTCGAAAACGCTTCATATCTGTATATAGTAATATGTTGTACAAAGTAAAATGATGAAATATGATTAGGTATTGCCATTATGAGCCAAAGAATAACTGTTTTATAAAAAAAATTCAAGAAAAAAAAAACAACTAAATAGGTTAATTTCTATCTTTTTTCATTGGTTCAGTTTTGTTTCGTAAATATCATACGTACAGTTCCTTAGGTTTTTTTTCCTGAAAGAAGGCTCATTTGCAGAACGTACCCATTTCAGTCTACAATACTGAGTTACTGTTCACACTAAGAATATTTCATGTTTTAGACGACGATGCCAATAACCAATCCGTCATTATTACAACAGCATCAATATTCATATCCGTCATTACTGAATGGAAATACATCAACAAATATTCTTACAACACCAACATTCACTACGCTAACGAATAATATGAGTCCATCATTATCCTCAACTACATTTCCGTATTTATCTCAATCTATGACAAAAGACTACACTCAACCGTCGTTTTCTTCAAAAACTCCAACACCTTATCTTGAAATATCACCTCGAGCACAGTCAACTACTCATAGTGCTGTTCAATTGAATTCATCACCAAAAAAATCGCGTAATAATGACATATCTGTTCATTATATAGGCGGTTTTGTAATACGTGAAAGTAGTCATCCATTTTTATCTAACGATAATTTAAACCCGAAAGATCATACTAATGATCATCTTCAATGTACTATGTGTCAAAAAATTGATTTTTCACAAAACTTTTATGATAAAGATAAAAACATTTGCTCAATATTATGCTCATCGAAGTCATATGAAAATCAATCATCAAATATTAATGAGCCACTGCGAGTGAGACAAACAAATTCAATTATTTTCTTATTTGATAAAAATTCTTCTTTTTTTCTCTAAAGACTTCAGATAATATCAATGTACAATCACCTTTCGCAACGGCTATCAATGTACAAATACCATTACCAAATGATCATGATCTTCCAGCTGATCCAACTAAATGGACGGTAGGAACTAAAATATTTGTTTCCAAAAAAAGAAATCTTCAATCGTTTTATCTTTTCGTCTAGGTTTTACAAGTGGGCCAATTTATTACACGTTTAACCAATGAAACTATACGTGAAGCATTTTATGAAAGTGAAATCGATGGGCAAGCTTTATTATTAATAACTCCGGAACATTTACGGGATACGATGAAAGTTAAATTAGGACCTTCATTAGTCATATCAAGTGAAATAGCTAAGTTACGTGAACGTGCCAAAACATTTTCACTTTGATTTATTCTTTTTTTATTTGTATTTCGGTGCTAAGTATGTTTAGTTATTTATTAACTTGAGATAATTAGATTTTTCGGTATTACAAACATTAGATAACTATTGTGCGTATGTTTTGTTTTCTATGTAGATATTTTCGATTGATTGAAAAGTATGTTGTTGTTTTTTCGTTGTTGTATTGTTTATAAACATGTGAAAACTAGATGCCGATTTAATATTTTAGAAATAATCATTTGAATCAAAGGTTAAGAGAGACATGTCAATATCATATATACCTTTTTGGTATGTTCTACTAGGTTAAAGCAAGAATCTTTGATCGCATTCTTTCTTTTGTCTTAAAAAAATATCACTATGTATCGGTTAATTGTCGTTGTTTGGTTGCAATGAAACATCGAAGTATAAGAAAATGTAGAGAATAAAATTCTCATGGCCAATCGAAAACGAACACTAAGCTCAAATACAAAGACTTTATTTCTATTGTTAAAAATAACAAAAAATGAAAGTAAATGATAATTCGAATAACTACAAAATTGATTTTTCTATGATGAGCTCAGCGTTGATCATCAATACAATTGATATTTTTATACTTTAGATAAAATTCACATATATAGACGATATGATAATGTTGTTGATCAGTTAGATATTCTTCTCTGTCAGAACTACGCCCTATTAATCCCAACAGCAATTGGAGCGATAAAAATGATTTCATCAATGGAATAATAAATAATTCAGAAAATGCTATTATAAGCATCTACAGTTATATTGATTCAGATAACGGAGATATTGTATAATAGATCGAAACAAACAAAACCTGACAGTATTCATTTATACATTTGATAGTAATCCATTTCTAGTCACAATGACAAACTTTTTCACCTTGGTCACTGTCATAAATATGATCATAATACTAATTATTTTCATTCATATCGATGACAAAAGCCAAATGACATTTTGCTTTTTCCTATCAGTAAGAAAACATAAACACTAGTATGTGACAATGTATGCAGATCAGAGTATTAAATAGTAAATATACGCTTGGTTTTATGTATTGAAACATTTACAAAACTGAAGTTTTAGTTATATTATTTTGAAAGAATATAGTTTATGGTAGGCTAATGATAAAAGAAAGTCTCATAAGTTGTTTACAAGAAAAATATTACCATAAAATTACTAATTCATTCGAATCGTGTCTTTATTTAATTAGTTTATTCCTTTTGACAATATCAAATGCAATTAAAGTAAACTATGCGAATGCAACACGAATTCAATAATCATTGATACAAGTAATTTTCTCCTCAGTGAAAAACAAAATTTGATTTCTACTTTCAATCAATAGATTATCAAAGTATTGCCATCAGAATAAATCGAAAATCTCTCTAATTAAGTAACAAGAAAGTTGATAACGAAATGGGAGTACGAAATAAGTTCAGGATCGCAAATAATACACACAGCGTTAGTTGTGTTATAACACGATTAAACATGATCTAAACAATTCTATCACTCTATGAGCGAGGAGTATTCATTTCCGTAGCTAGCAACCTAGACATTATTTGAAGATTTCTTCTTTTAATGCTTCATCTTTAACAAGAATATTTCTATGATTAAGATTTGCTGCGCGTATTTGAGCCACAACAAGATATGTTAGTTTACAATAATAATACTATGACTTCAATATCTTCATGTTTGTCGTCTTTCGCTACTTCGCGCTTGATTTTAGTCTTCTGTGTCGTCATTTTTAAACATCATCGTTGATGCGTAAACTTCCACCTGGACCTAAGCCGGTGACTACTCTGCTATTGATAATATACTGTCTGTGTTCATTAGAACATCGTTATAGCAGTAGTGACGCAAGGAAATGTGTACCATGTGAACTCATAATATATTTATTTATTAAAAGAGGCATCACGCAGAAAACTAGATGGTATTTGAGTTCCACTCGACTACGAAATGCGGTGCGAATAGCGCGGGCCGAATTTTCGAAAACATGGTGATCAATTTCAGAGTTCATTAGGAACGTTTTTTTCTTAATGTCTACGAATTTTGAATTTCTTTTGCATTCACCATTCTTAAATCGACCATTATGAAATTCATCACTAGGAGATCTCTTTGAGATGTAACAACCAGTTCTCTAACGATTTTTTTCCATCGAACGATTATCTACTTTCATGAATCATATGTTAAGCAATAGACTATTGGCAAACAATTATTGATGACGGCATTTCAATTATCCCGAAGTTTGAAAACGACAAATTCCTTTCATTTTCGTCATTTTGGAATGACATTTGTGAATGGACGAAACCTCAGATTGAAGATTTGAAAAAAGATGTAACAAGTTCGATCTCGATACTTCTATCTTACGTTTTAACGACATTTCTATGATTTTCCGTTCTCGAGATCATTGCGATACAAAATGACGAAAAAGATGCGTACGTCGAGAAAGTAAGAGAAAACATTAAAAAAAAGAAAAAAAAAACTCGCGACGAAATATATAAATGCTTCTGCTTCTCATAGCATTAAAATGTTATGTTTACTTAGTTTCAAGCAAAAAAAAAGAATTTGACAAACAAAGTGCTGATATTGGTTGAATAAAATGCACTAGACTCGGAAAAGCATCACTATGCGGATATTAACGAACCTCGAGTTCGTTTCGATTTGTTCCAACCAAAAATATGATAACTCCTTAAAGATTCTCATTAAGAAAATTTTTTTAAAGATTTAGCCAAAAGTTCACATGAGCAGTCAAACAAAAACGTTGATCAGCACAATATATATGTTTGTTTAGTTTCATCAACTTTTGTATCGAATACATGAATATCTCCATCTTGTCCACATGCTAAAAAATGACAAAAGCAAATCTTTCCTATTTCTTTCTTTGAAACAATAAAAAAGAATCGAGCAAACCATCCATCTTTAGTATAACAAATGTTAGATAGACCAGTTGTGCAATGAACCGAAACAACAGATAACATTTTTCTAAATTACTTTAACTAGAAATAAAACCAAAACGATTTGTGAACAATTATAGCGAAGAAATACACCCACATCCAATCCTATATTCATTGGTTGAGCAATTGATCTTTCGATAAAACGAAATCCAAATGAATAAATAATCGAATTCAATCGAAAATAGTAGCATCTTACTGAGCATTTTTTAAAAGATGATTCAATTGATTGCTTTAAATATTGTATATGAAAGACATTCAACAAAAAGTCCAAAACTCAACTTTTCTGCTCTAGAAAAGAAAAACATCAAATCCTTGCTTTCAAACAAAAACTTTTCATGATGAGTAAAGTATCTCAAATCCGATTTGCTGTTCTCTATAAAATTTTATCAATATTTATCAATTATTTATTGCTATGAAAAACTTAGAAATAAATGACTGGAAGAGTCTGCACAATTTTCGATTCTGAATATTGATTTCAATGCCGAGTGCTTTGCTGTGACACCCGTTTCGTACTATCTGTCTTGAATAAAGTCATTAATATGTTCATATTATAGTTTGTCTCTTATGTCATTTTGTAGAGATGAAATTATAGTTGAGATATCATTGAATGTAGAAATAATTTCATTTCAATTTTAATCATTTATTATTAAATATATTTTGCAGATTTCCTCATTTTGGATCGATCTAGTTGTTGTGATTCGATTTCGATTTCGCGTAAGAGATGAAAAACAATTAGAAAAGTTTCTTTGGGATACCATAGAAAAATATGTTGTTGTCTGTATTGACATTCATAAGTTGAAAAGAATAGATAAATGAACATGATCATGGGATACTCATGCGTTAGATTTAACGATTTACCTGATGAAATTCTTATGGTTATTTTTAAAAACATGAACAATGTTGAAGTACTTTATTCTTTAAAAGGTGTTAATCAACGATTAAATAAACTTGTTCAAGATTCTACTTTTACAAGTCGTTTGACGTTTGTCAAAAGATGCTCAGATAATTTTTTCGATGTATTTCCTTGTAACATGATGCTTAATCGTTTTTGTTTACAAATTTTACCTGAAGTTCACGATAAAATCAAATGGCTTGATCTTGAATCATCATCTATGAGGAATGTTTTATGTGCTACCGATTATCCTAATTTATATGGTCTCGGCCTTTATAATATTAATGAAGAGTCAGCTCGGTGTCTTTTCACTGGTAAGAAGTTTCTATTGAATTATTTTTATCCTGAATAATTAAAAGATTTCTCAAACTTATTGTTACTAATGATTAGATCATTGAATGAATATACTTAGGGTTATCATTATCCAAAAGTAGTGGCAGAGGTACTTTGTTTCTCATAAAAAGTTTGAAAAAATGTTCTTTTTCTTACAAACCGATAGAGCGTCTTTCGCTCTGTTTTCCTAAGCTATTTGATCACTATTCAACTAATATCCTAATAGTAAAATTTCGATAAGAACTGCTTCTGTTGAAAACTAGCTAGTAGCATTTGGCCATAACGGATAAAGCATTTTTGAATTTCACTTTATGATGACTTCATGCGTTGTATTGAAAAACCAAAATATACAAGCAAAAGACACAGCGTGAAAAGCTCTACCATTTACAGAGAACAATTATAAAAAGATGAAATAGGAAAAAACGAAGTTGTCTTTTACCAAAAAAAATCTCGTTTTCGCAGCGTCGAAATGCGCACACTCAGAATCATGTTCATTTTGAAAACAGACAAGTATAGCTATAAAATAAGTAATCGTATGTAAACTATAAATCTTTCACGCTGCATCTTGCGCTTGTATATTTTGTTTTTTTAATACAACGCATTAAGTCATCAAAATGAAATGTAAAAGTGCCCCATTTTCTGTTACATTCATTATGATCAAGCATGCTACCAGTTAGTTTTCAACAGAAACAGTTTCGAAATTTGATTATTATGATATTAGTTGAGTATCAATCAAATAGAAGAGAAAAACAGTAACTTACCTCCGTCACTACTTTTGGATAATCCTTAACTATTAATATTATTTGCATCATTTTTTTTTGTATTAATATTGTGTGCATGTTTAGATGAAACTCTTCTATCTGGTATATTTAAAAATCAGATTAGAATACTTTTTTATTACAATTGATAATAATCATGATAGTTATGAAGAGATGGAATTGTCGGCGACAAGCATAATTAATTACATTTTGAATGTTTTCACCGGTCTAATTTATTTAAAATTATCTGAATCATTGTATAAAAATTGTGCTCGATTATTGTTTGATGATGAGTTTCTTCCTACGTTTCGTTCTTCAACTCTTTTAAAATTGAATATCAGAATACAATGTTTTGATGATTGTCTTTATCTTCTCGATGGTCGATTTAGCCAACTTCATACACTCTGTGTTGATTTGGTTCATATTAATCGTCCACATGAAATTAAAAATCAAGTTAGTTTTATAAGAAAAATCTTTGTATTGTTAAATAACAAAAGAAATGCTATTTTTAGGGTGATTTACCAAATCTTAAGTGTTTTTCTCTGTCCTGTAATTTAGCAATAATTTTCTACGATGAATTGATCCTACCACTTCTATATCGAATGTCAAATTTAGAACGACTCGGTTTGTATATTGAAACTGTTAATACAACATTTATTGATGGAAATCCTTTAAAGAGAGATGTCATTAATCGTATGCCATGATTAAATCAATTTACATTTTATATTAATTCATTTATGTCTATATTTGTAATCCATTGGATTTTCCATCAGCAGAAGATATTCAACGCACATTTGTTGACTTTTCAAAAAAGAATATTATTTCTTATGTTGACTATTTTCCAGAAGCAAAACAACGCCAATGCCGTATTTACTCTTATCCATCTTTTACCCCATATTACAACAATATTACGAATAATTTTCCAGGTGAATTATTCCAATATGTTCGCGTGATATCGTAGTATGATGAATATCCTTTTGAACATGACTTTTTTTATTCGATTTCAAAAATCATTTCCATTTATAGAAGAATTAACCGTGGTTAATTACGAACCACAAAATGAAAAACAATCTTATGAATCAAACAATGACAGTCAAAATTTATCACTTGTTGAATATTCTTGTCCGAATGAAATTGCTATTGTCAGGGTTCATGATCATTATATAGAACAATTTCTATTTAATACTAAAACATATCTACACAATAATGTTCTTCTTCATATCAATTATGAATCTTTACAACGAGTAACACACAATTTTACAAGAGAAAATACGCAAATTAACTGTGCCAAAATAAATGAACTAATATTATACGGTGAAAGATGCCCAATTTCTTCTTTACAAAAATATTTTCCTAATGCAAAGATATGTTTTTTCAAGTCGACTTTGTAAGACAAAAAATAAAGTATTTTAACTAAAGACAAATAAAATCAGAGAAAACCATCTTGTCTATTGTTGTAAGAAAACGGTATCTCTATATAGAGATGAAAATGATCATGTGTCACAAGTAACAATATTTGAAATAAGTTAATTTTCTTTGAACATGTGTATAATATATTCAGTTGGAACATGAGTTCTGCATATTTTTTTTGTTTCCCCATGTATTGTTAACCTTCCCAGGTCGATCAAAACGGAACTCCGTTTCGGACCGTATTAATGGGCGCAGTATTACGGACCGTAATGCTGTTAGTTACGGGTCAAATACGGCCGTAAACCGAGACTGGTTTGGAGCACCGTAAAACGGGGAGCCATATACTGTGAAATCTTGACCGTATACGACGCAAATGTAAGCATCGTACGGTCCGTAATACTGCGCCCATTATACGGTCCGTATTGTTCGACCTGGGTTTAGACTGACAAAGTTTATTTTCGTAGATAATATGATAACATGTACTTAAATTCTATGATTTTCATTGTTGCACCGGTATTTTAGCCAAAACTAGATTATTTTCCTCTTCCGTTTTGTTAAGAAATTATTAGATTACAGTTTGTCTTGATTTAGAACAGGTTAATTGGGTCTACGACAATTGGTCGAAGTTGAAAATTTCAGTTTTCAATTGAATTCAAGTTTCAAGTTTGACACTACTGAGAGACAATTGGGCGCTACCATAAGTAGTCGCATTATAAATTTGGTCGAAATTCTCGAAAATAAAATTGTAGAAAAGTTTTTATTAGTGTTACAGAAAAATAACTCCGAGATATCTAGAAAGTAGCTAACAATCTATTCGAAAGCCAGGAACATTAAATATGAGTATAAATACGAATGTTTAGTAAACTCTTCTAATTACGTATAAAGCATTGTATGAGAGTCAGTAGTAGTTGTTGCTTTAAAAGTTTGCTTAATGCGAATGGTATTTTTCTTATTCACAGGCCTCTGTCTGCTGCGCTTTTCGCTATTCAGCAACAAATATCATTTTCATCTTTTCCTACTATTTCGATGGAGCTAAAGAGTGAATATCATCATTCAGTTAGCGTTTACCAGCGAGGCCACCTACTTATCTATTTCAAGAAGCACATATTCATTTTCTACTCATATCAGAGCTGAGCACAGGACAAGTTTTTCTGCCCTGTCCTGCTCTGTCCTGATACTCTGGTCCGTCCTGGCGGGCGGCAGGATAGGACACCCATGTCGATCAAAACGGACCATCGTAAACTGGCGTAACATTACCGTAAACGGTCGTTTTTGCATCGTATTCCGTCGTTAAAAGGCCGTTTTAAGTCGAATTAAGGCGTTTTAACAGGAGCAGTATTACGGCCATACGCGGACACCGTATATCAGCCGTAAAACCGGCGTAATATTATCGTATTCTATAGAGCATACGGCCGTATTACTGCCCCTGTTATACGGGGAAAATACGGCACGTAAAACGGGCCGTATTTGTATCGTATACGACCGTTTACTGACCGTTTTCTTCGACCGGGGCAGGACAGGACACCAGGACCGTCCTGTTTTGTATTTATCATGGATGTGATAGCAGCAATATTTGTCATTTTTACGGTCAGTAATCCAAGCCTAGGTTAATTAATTTTCTACATTGTAGCCAGTATATTTCATTTAATTTCAAATACAAAAACTGAATTTTTTATAAACAATACAAGGGGAAACAGCGGACTTGAAGTACAAAAGTACATCAAAGTTCAATGCTTGAAGTAGCTAAAAGTATCACTCAAGTAGCACAAAGTTAGAACAAGTAACTTCAGATAACTTCAAGTAGATGTGAAGTTGAAAAGTAGGTGAAAGTAAATTACTTGAAATAGCTTGAAGTACTTCGAAGTAAGTCGAAGTAGCTTAAAGTAGTTCAAAGTAACTTTAAGTCCAAAAGTCCGCCGTTCCCCCCTTGAAACAATACCACTTTAAATACAAAAACGAGGAAACAATCTTGAGTTATTATTTATATGACACTCTCATTACTGGAAATAAAATTTACATATAATCTAGGATTCTAGTAGTATTATCTTCACGTATAAAGAATGATACTATAAAAGGAGAACATGAAAAAGTACTTGATATAATAAGTATGATACAAATCAAACACATACTGAGTCAAATATTCACAAAAAATATATACCCGTATATACAAAACAATAGAAAAAAATTGTTAAAAAACAGATTAAACAGAGGACATACATATCAACAGTGGAATGTTTTCTTATCTGATCATATTCTACCATTTCAATGTGTCATGGTAGAATCTGAAACGCAACAAAAGCTCTAGTTTCATCCTGCGCTCAAGCCCGCCCTGTCGGGCGGCAGGACAGGACAAAACTCTGCTCTTGTCCTGCAGGACAGCAGGGCAGTCCTGTCCTGTGCTCCGCTCTGACTCATATCCTCTCAGCCTCAAGCTATGCTATGTGTGATTGAGTCACGCGTGTGTAAATTGAAGTTTTTGGGAAGTAGAAAATAACCATGCTTCTGTCAAACACACGACCAAATCTACACTGCGACCAATTGTCGTAGCGCCCAATTGCCGGTGCGACCAATTAACGTCACCCAATTGCCGTTCGACTAATTGTCGCTCTCCCGGTTAATTTCACATCTTGTTAAAGCAAAAAAAAAAGAACCATTGAGAGAACAGATTCCTAACTCTACATTTGAAGTCTAATGATTCATCGATTTGACTAGTTGGATAGTCTCTATCTATGGTAAAAACTTGTTTAAATTAGGGCACAACTTTATTCAATTAGGTAAGTAATGATTCATTGCATTGAAGACTGGTATAATTCGACTGATTTTACATTTTCTGTCTTACTATAATTTGGTTAGCAGATCAAGCTGCGATGTCATATTAAATACTCATAATCGGCATATAAAAAAAGATGATTTATTTTTTTATAGTGAAATTTGGATTCAAATATTGGAAAACATTAAATATATTTAAAAATAGGAAAAATACAGATATTTTTGTCAAACATTTGTTTCCTATAGTGGGGTCCATTTGGATTCCACTTGGTTGTCAAAGTTTAACTATTTAGAACAATATACAAAAACGAAAGAATTGTGTTTCTAGTATGATTTATTGATGGATAATTATTTCATGAGACAACTCAGTTGATTAGATTAGAAGAATTACCTTGTCGGCTTTTGTTAACCACTGTTTTGCAGTTTCGTTTCGTTTTACACAAGGATCTATCTTAATAAATTCCACAGATAATGAGTATCACTGGATTTTGAACTTAAACATAAAAACAAAGAGACATTAATTCTATTTCATTTTCATCACTTAACCTATCAGCATGGATGAAGAGTAGCTGCATTATTGAAAACAATTGATACGACCCTAAACGATAAGAGATGCTTTGCAGTACAAACACATATAATACACGAGAATGATGAAAGTTTTTAGTAGCAGATATTTGGTCCCGTAATGGAACTATATTTCCTATATTTTTAAAAAAACTGAAGATTTTGCGCAAAAAATGTCACATTCGTGCATCTGAATATCAAGAAAGCAACAACAAGATGTTCAATGGAAGAAAATATCAAACATGCGTTGTCTAAATGAAGTTGGTAAGCTGGGTGTGGGTGTGGGTGTGTGTGAGTCTTGGTTAGGTTTAGGATGCCACTGTGTTTTGAGTGTTGTCTGAAATACGTAGATCCACACCCACACCCTATTTTATACAAGATTCATATCGATTATGCTGACCAGTTAATTCGTCAAATTACTCTTCCTTCTCTAATCGAACTCGCTATTAACAAAGATATATTGTTCACAATAATTTCTCAAAATCAACAACAAGCAAGAGGCATTTTCTCTAGAGTAAAAATATTAAGATCATCGAAACCATCTTATGAATCAATATATAGTATTCGAAACTTTTCCCACCAGGTTATTATGTCAAACATAAAGAAGAGCGAGCTAAAGCTATAATATAACTAATTTATCTAAGTGTCAACTATTTCTCTAGATGAACTTTTCTTTTTGAAAAGTCAAACATTATAAATACATTTATTCATTTAAATATAAAAGCAAGGATGTGATTGTGAGTGTTGAATGCACGATAGAATTATATTCACACCCACACCATCAAGATTTTTGACGAAGAAGCCATGGTCTAAAGCTATTAAGAGCTCACCATTTTTGAAAAAAACTTAGCGCGTTGTCCTAAGAACAATTTTGAGAAATCTCTGGCATTGATAATCCGACGCAGGGTTTGGGTGTAGGTTTCAGCATTCACTTGATCTATGTCGACACCCATCACATCGATGATCAATCAAATATCAATTGAATTTATCACGATTAACCAAAACGTAGTATAAATGGTGACGATTTACAACGTCAAAAACGCATTTCCCGTTTTTCTTCTTCTTTTTCTTTCTTATTATATTATAATATATATATTTTCTAACTATTTTAGATAAAATTTTTATTTTATTTTTCACTTGTTTAGCAACTTCGAATGTGACTTTTTTATGATCTTGTGAGTATTGTAATGCCTAGAAATGATTTAGTGGAAAATAAAATGATTATAGTCTATACTCACATATTAGTGCACCGATACATATCGATGAAACATTTAAAGTTGGATATCAAAATTTGTATTTTGTATATGAATATTAGTTTTTGCTTTCTGCAAAAATATCTCAATCATCTTCATCTCCTGTCGATTTGAATTGTTATTATGTTCCAAAGTAAAAATATGACTTTTTTTTAGTTTAGGCAAGTTTTGTGATGCTCTACGAAATTTATTTACACTGATAGTAATTGTTGTTAGGCTTGAACATATTTCTCAATTTTAGTTGTAAACAGCTCTTTCTTCAGGCAATAAAATTTATGATAGTCAAACAACTTTGCTTTGCATCAACAAAAGAAAAGCCTACATAAATCATGAAACGTAGCAGAGCGACCTCTCTTTTTCCTTCCGCCTGATTGAAGAAAGAAATGAATAATCTGCAATAGACAATGAGATCTTTGTTACCTATTTAAACATAAATATAAACACATACATGAATGTTGATGTACAGATAATTTTATCAACTTTGTATATTCGTTATCTGACTCCTATTCATGTTTTAAGTTATACAATTTTCCAGATTGTTCATTATGTAAGTATTCATTACGGCGATTAAACAAGTTTGACTCTTTTATTAACACCTTTTTCTAGTTATCTCTCTATCAATACCATGTCTATAACGTCAACAACAGATTCCAAGTAAGGATGATATGCACTCTTTCATTACAATTCTTTTGTTTATGATAGAACAAATTCAATTATGAATACCAATCAATTTTTTGAATATCTTAAGACGACATTTAATGAAAAATTTGCTGTTTTTATTTGTGAAGATTTACACATAATCACCACTAGTCGACGATCTTGACTTCGATCTGTCCAGATTCTTGTTTTCCTTGAATATCAGACAAGATTCTTTGTAATCATAATATTCAGACAAGATTCTTCGAGGCAGGAAAGAAACAAGATTNTAAATAAAATTTATCTGTATTACAAGGATTTTCTCAAAATAGCAAGAATTGTAAGAAAACAAGAATCTTGCCAAAATGGCAAGAAACAAGAATCATGCCAGAAAAGCAAGAAACAAGAATCATGTAAGAATTGCAAGAACACAAGAATCAGGCAAGAATACAAGAACACAAGAATCTTGCCTGGCGGGACATTTCTTGCCTCGCCAGCCAAGATTGTGTCTACACGAATCTTGCCAGAAAGTCAAGATCTGTTTTTTCAGACAAGAATCTTGTACAGAAGGAATGGCAAAAGAATCTTGTCTGATATTCAAGAAAAACAAGAACCTGGACAGATCGAAGTCAAGATCGTCGACTAGTGACTCCATCGGTCTTAACCGTATTATATAACAACCAAAGAGTTAAATGATTTAATTGAAGCTGTTTATCCTGATTTAAGACCATCGAGTATTGAATATTACACTATCGATCATTCAAATAAAAATGAAAAGGCTACACTAAAACAAAGTATTATGGCTTCAATACAATTTTTGAAAAAAGAATTTAGCTTGGATTGTCGAAAAAAAAGAAAATGTATTTTGTATAACTTGCGTAATAAATAGCAGTTTTAAAGAAGATTCGTGTTTTTCATTTTAGTTGATCCTTCAAAATTGACCACAACTTCAAGTGAAGTGAGCGAAGCCGATACTGTTGTCAATAAAAGTAGAGTGCATTTATCCAATGATAAACACATCGGAAAACGTAAACGTCGTTGTAAGGTTAGTTGGATAGAGCGTTGGTAAATGTTCTAATATAGATAATAGTAAAATATTTCACTAATCAAAATATCCCTGCTTCAAACTTACATAAGAGAAGATTTTTCTATGTAACTTAAACTATTCTCTTAGAAAAACATTTAAAATCAGAAGTTTTTAGGGAACTATTGGGTAAAAAAGAGCCACATCTAAACTTGAAATAGCTGCTCATTTTTGATAAGCCTACATGAAATAAAAATCTTTTTAGGTTGGTTCATCTAATAATTGTCCACGTAAGTCATTCTAATCTTTGTTTTGAATTGTTTGCATTGTATTTAATATTCAGATAATATCGACTGGTCTTTCTCAAGTGATGAATATCAGCCTCCATCACTAGAAGAATTATATCCGCATGAACGTATTTCTTCCCAAGAGCGAGCTGATTTTGAACTTGTAACACATGGTCGTCTGGATTACTTCTGTCAAAAATACTTATTTTTGACGAATGTGACTGGTATGGGTTTATCTTTCAATTACTTATATGAGAAATTAAAGATTAGTGGGTGTTAACTTTATGCACTTCTTTCTATCGATAATTTTCATTTCCTATAGGCACACCCAATTATTTTTATTGAGTATCTTGAAAAATCTTCTTAATTTTATGAAACTAAAAATCTCATGAGGACGCTTGTAAGAATTGTTGATCACAGACATTAAAATATATTCTTTATTTTAGAAGTAAGAAAGTTTCAACATTATGCACAAGTGGAAATGACAATGCACAAAGAACACTTTTATGAATTCATGCGGTTCGTTAGACATCAATCGGATCTGTTGAATGAAATTTAGGAAATAGCAAAAGAGATGCAAAATGAAGAAAATTGTAAAAAGCAGGCTTACTTAATTGATGGTTTAATAAAAATAAGAAAAAAATCGAATTTCGTAAGTTAGGCTTATCTTTTCTACTAAAAAATATTCAGTTGTCTTTTTAGGTTAATGTTGGATATGAACCTAAATAGACTGATGAATTTCTACTTGTAAAATAATTCCATATAAAATAGAATAAATCTATCTCCTAGGCATCTCAATTTTCTTTATCAAGATTATTCTCCATTATTTTTATTGTATTTATTACTATAAGTGTTTGTTTAACTTAATGATAATTAAACAAGTTTGAATTATACTTAAAATTGAAAAAAGCCAAGATATACAACTTTATGTGAAGAATTTTTCTAGATCTCAATAGTACTGATCAGGATTGTATGCGAGTCACTTGACGATCAGCACTTCTAAATATATTGCTTTTCGTTTTACCTCTAAGTTATATTTAATCTATTCCATGGTGAAAAGACATGACAAACTAAGTTTTTACATATAATATATTGCCGATAGCTCTACTCGTTCATAGTTGTGTTCAAAAATAAGAAAATTTTTTATTACTATTGTTCTTTACTGTTTCTTTGTAAAAATATAGAAATTGATTATTCCGCTTTTATCAGTTGGATAATAAAGTAAATACTGATCGAACCATTGATCATCGTTTTTAATGGTAAACTAAGAATAGCTGCGGAAAATTTTAGAAAATTGACCAAGTAATTCTGATGCAAATCGAATAATTTAATGAGCAATTTTGTATCCATGTAAAATTATTCATAAGTCAAACATGAACATAGGAAAGAAGTAATTGTAATTTTGCGATGGAAATAATATATCACGAGCAGAATCACTCGTAATAATAATTGTTGTTAGTGCATATACGATGTAAGACGACAACATAAAAGATCAATTAGCGGTCTAGTCTATATTACAAGATTTGCTTTTTCGTCACTTTTAGGAATGCTTGTGATCTTTACGATCGCTTGTACAACATTCAATTAAACCATCAAAAGACCACTTTATGTAGTGAACGGAATGTTAAATTTTACAAACAGAAATGAAATTCATTTGATCTCGATCGCTGACAAATTGTCTAAATGATCACGAATAACAAAAATGACTATAAATAGTAATGATTTTCAACGTTAGAAATCATTCCCCATCTTTCTTTCTCTTCTTTTTCTTATATTATTATATGTATATTTTATTGTTTAACTATTTTAGCTTGTATTCGTACTGACCATTGTTCAATATCACAGGTAAGTATTATAGTTTTAGTTTTTATTTTAAATTTTTTGTTGTCTCAGCTTTTTACCCGATTTATTTATTTTTATTTTTATATTTTCAGTAATATAAACAAGGTAAGTATTCTTTTGTATATATGTCCTACCGGGGAGAAGGCCTTCCATACATCGGCGTGAAACTGGCCAAGGCTATCTTGGTGCCCATAGCACGTACAGGCCGCATATAGATCTTCCTGTTGTATGTTCTATACACGCTAGATCTATGTCTGTACGTGAAGAGGTTCGCCTCTCTATGGCACCACCAAGGTAGTTCTTGGTCGCGCGAGCAACAATTAATTGGTAAGCAAAAACAAATTGTCTCTCATTCCAATCAATTCATTTCTTTTTATTTCGTTTTAGTTCATCTCGATTTCTTCAACAGCAAAGTAATTTCACTTATCTTATTCCAAAAAACAAAATAAAATAAATTGTTATTTTTATGCTTTAGTTCCATTCAACAGTTCAATTCAATTCAATTCAATCAAAATGGACACAAATGTAAGTATATATATTTTCTATTCTTGTTGTTTAAATTCTTTTGTAATTTTATTTTTTTGATTTTTAAAATAAACTTTATTCAAATAACTCAAATTTTTTCTTTTCATTTCAACAATACATATTTTCATTGCAATCATAAATATTTTCACTTCAACAATACATATTTTGTGAAAACAAAAAAAAATTTCCTTTCACTTTACTTATAAATTGTTTTATTTTATCAATAAATATTTTCAAAAGCACTCAAATTTTCATTTTTCATTTAAATAATTAAAATTTTCCAAATAATAAAAATTTTCCAAATGACACAAATTTTGCAAGTAATTAAAATTTTATTTTTCATTTCACTAATTGAAATTTCCATTTCAATAATAAATATTTTGTGAAATAAAACAAATTCTTTTATTTAATTCATTTCTTTTCGTTTAACAAATAAATAAAAGAACAAGAAAAGAAACATATGATGTAATCTTATATTTAGCTTTTTTCTTTTCGTTGAAGGGAAAGGGTAAAAGGAAAATTGCTTTTTTCTGTTCATTCATTTCAGGGTATGGAAAAAGAAATGAACAAAGAAAAAACAATTCACAAGTCTTATTCGATAGAAAATCGTTGAACACGGTCACTACCCCAATCGACGACATAGAGATTGCCATGTCGATCGAAAGACAAACCAACGGGGTGGTTGAACTGATTTGCTCGTGCTCCCCAACCATTTCCACCTGCAATTATAGTGCCTTGTTGCCCTCCTTGAGTCCAACGCATTATACGATTATTCCCCTCGTCTGCTACATACACTGTACCCAACGCATCAACGAAGAGTCCTTGAGGACCATCTAATTGTGTCAGAGCACATCCTTTGCCGTGACCTCCAGCGACCACAATACCTTCTGTTGCACCTTTTTTCCATTTCATTACACGATGATTGTGGTTGTCTGACACGTAGACATTCTGTTGTCGATCGACAAAGAGATATGTCGGATAGTTGAGTTGATTGAGACCACTACCAGTGCTACAACTACCAGCTACGACAACGCCATTTTTCTGATCTAATTGATATCGTCTTACTTCATTTGTTCCGTGGTCAGAAGCGTAGATATATCCCTGCTCATCCATTGCTACTCCATAACATTTGATCTTCTCAAATAGTATGTTACCTTGTGTTGTACCACTACGACGAGACCATCGTACAATTCGTTGATTCCCATTATCACAAATAATGAGACTATCCGTCTTTTTGTCAATTAATACATCAAGTGGCTGATTGAATTCATTCAATCGACTTCCTACGCCATTACCACCAGCAACAACTTGTCCATTCGTCGCATTACCATTCTTCCATTGCATGATACGATGATTCCAGCAGTCAGCAATAACCACTGTTTGATCATCATCAACGGAGAGACCATAAGGCCAGTTGAATTGATTAGTGGCACACCCAGCCTTATTACCTCCAGCAATAGTCACTCCGTTCGGTGACCACTTAGCATTAGCAGGAATATTAACTAGAAGAGAAAATATAAGAATCAAAGGAGATCTCTCTCTCTATCGCGTTGAAGTGTGAATGTAATTCTTCTGCTAATCTATACCCACGCCAAATCATGGAGATAATTAATCGAAATAGACCCTTAGGAATAGATCGCCAAGTAAGAATAGTTTTCTCAGTGATGAATTGCATTATGGCTATACAAAGACTATTTAATACCTATCAATTGAAGATTTTTCGTGCGATATACGGATTCTTGCTTCGCATCGCATTTCGTGTACGAGTGAAACTCGAATACCATCTAGTTTTAGTTCTTAATTTACGGATCACCAACACCGTTTTTTAGGTGATAACAACCTGATCGGTAGAAGAACACTTTGACTAATTCTGAAATTCAATCACGGACCATTATAGTTTTCAGAATCATACCCAATTTCATCAAGTAAGTTATGAATTTTCTTCACGTGCTTTAGCCCTACGTTGACGTTGTGCGGTCCACGCGGACCCATCTGACAATTTTTCCACTGCTATTCCGTCATTCTTTGTTGTTTTGGGTCATTCCATTTCTCTAATCTCTAATCCTTAGTTGACCTATAATATCCTCACTAGATGTCAGAAGTACCTCTACAGAGGGAGGAATACAGTGGTGTGTCCGCGCGGACCCGAGAACACCTATTGTGCTATAAG